TTGAGACAGCCAAACCTTGCCGAAACTCCGGCACCCGGTTCCGGATCGGCTCCAACTCCTAGCCAAACCGCCCCAATGGCAAAGAGAACTCAGCCCCACCTCACCGGAATCAATGGCAGACTCGACCCCTCCTTGAAAACTCAACCTTGCTGAAGCCGTGCACACCCACCATGGCCTCACAAAAGCCCCTAACCCACCCTTGCCGAACGGCAAGGGCTGTGAAAGTCTGATTCCGAGCTCGTGGATGCCTTGCCGACACTCCAAGAAGAACCAAGGCTCACGAGGTACCTGGATGCTCTAAGCCCCAGCTACTTTCAATTTCGCTAGACTTAAAAAGCCCAGCTACCTTGCCAAAAACACAAAAACTCCTAGCCAGCTCAGCCTTACCGAAGGAAGAGGAAGCTACAAAAAAAAAAAAAATGTCCCAACCATTGCTTGCCGAACGGCAAGAGCTGTTAACACCTATTTATATACCCCCCTCTCTAAAAAGACCAAGCCCTAGCCCTTCTATCCCAGCCTTGGCCTCCTTACCGAAGGTACAAGGTCCCAGCTACAATATCACAAGGCCTAGCCACACATAACCCAGCATGTACCTAGCCCTTTTTTATTTCAACTTGCCGAACGGCAGGTTCCGTAAAACAAAAAAAGGAGGCACACCAATCCTCCTCTAAACCTGGCCTCACAACTAAACTCACGGGTTCAGCCCCTTGTTCCCTTTTCCCTTTTTGCCAATGCCCCAGCTCACCTTGGGCCACTTTTTACATGGCAGCCCCTAATTTCAGATCCCTCAATGGCCCAACCTCAATTACCCAAGCCCATACCGCATGGCCAATAACCAAAAAACAAAAAAAAAAAACAAGAGAGCGAGCCCAGCTCCTACTTTGGGCACCAGCGAAATGGGCTCCCAAGGGATTCTCTTTACCAAAATCCTATGCCCAACTCAAAAAATATGTATTACCCAAGCCCATACCACTTGGCCATTCGAAAAGAAAAAAAAAAAAAAAAAAAAAAAAAAAGGGCCCCGAATGGCAAAGGGGCTAGGAAAATGGAAAAATGGAAGCCCATATTCTTTTCTCCTTCAAGCTTCAGCCCAATCTTTTGGGACCCAAGCATTTGCTGCCCAAAACCATCACTTGGTTATCAAATGGCAAGACCTGAGTCAACAATCACTGCAGCTTCGACAACCCAAGTTTACTTTTCTTTTCAAGGTACCCAGCTACCAACAATCACTGAGGCTAACACAGCTTTTATTTTACCTTCCGAGTGTTCACGCAACTTCTAGCTTGACAACTTGGGGGACTAGGGACTGCCCTACGGCTCCCACTGAACCTGGAATGCTCGGTCATGATCACACAAAAACTTACAAGTTCCCAACCCAGAAGTCACTTCTTGACCGCGAACTTAGGGGACTACTGTTTACACCATAATCAACCGAGCATATCCAGCATCAAAGCAACTAGCACCAAGAGCATCAAC